TTATAATATATTTTTTGTATATATTTTGTAGTATTTTTAATACCTCTCTGATATTTAAAATGTTATTTCTGTTATGGCCTGTGAGTCTATGTTCTTTGCTGAAGGTCATCGGTACTAAATGAAGAGGGAAGGATTATTATTTGTACAGTCCGTTTTACAGGGGAAGCATTAAAAGGTTTTAGCAATGTCAAATTTTTCATTAGTTCCAGTGACTGGTCTCCATTATAGAGAGAGTGAATATAGCTCAAAATACTAGTTTTTTTTCAAATCTGTGAATATTGGTAATTGACTGTATCGTATCCAGAGCCTTTTCACTCAAGGGCACAACGGAACAAACACCTGTGTGATAATTTGTCTTGCCTTCAGCCTTTCCAAAGGCAGACACACGCGTACGTCCGAACCAGTCAGTATGTTATTTGTCTATGGGTGGTAAATTCCTTGTGATGGGCCAGAGCAAACGATGTATCGTTTGACTCCTAGTGTCTAGGTTGGCTGGCTGTGCTCAGCCTTTGCATTCAGTTACCACCACTGTGTCCCTGCAGCTCTCTTATTTTTTATGATTTCTGATGCACAGGACCTCCGTCAAGGTTAACACTTGGTCCTCAGCTCAGAGCGCTTCTTGCTGAACTTGTGATTTCCATCATTGATGGAAAAACAGAAGTTCCCACCTTCAAAAATGTCTTTAAGTCACCCCTCAGTGAAGCTGTTGGTAGAACCACCAGGTTCTAGATAGGATTTTGGGGGTTTGTTCTGCTTTTATGAACCTTTTTTGTTTATTAAAGCCATTTAAATATTGCTCTCGGGATGAGAGATTGGCCTGGAAAAAAATACAAGGCTCTTACAAAAGCAGTGGTCTACTGCACTGCTGATACCTTGCAAGAGATGATTTTTATTGTGCAGTGCATCTCTTAACTTAAAGTTAACACCCTTCAAAATACGCATTTCAATTTTATGCTAGTTAGAGAAGAAGAAAAAAAGGTTTATCTTCTGCATTTAACAGGTTGGTTCCTGTTACTTAACAGTCAGATTTTCCTTTTGGGTCTTGTACTGGGAAATCTCATTTTCCATCTGATTCACAGCTTGAATTTTAGGACTCCTAGATTTCAGCTGACTTCTCCAGGGCATGATCTCTGGACCAGAACGAAAAAACCTGTTAGCCCGTACTACACTTTATCTAGAATTTTGTCCCATGCCCCAACCACATTCTGTAATTTCACTCAAAAGTTATGTTAGGAAGTTGCACAACCACTCAAGAAATCTTGATGGCTGCAACTACCAGTTCCATCCCCTGTGATGTTTATGGAACATCATGGAACTGTAAGGTAAAATTGTACTCAGAAAACGAATGTTCTAAAGAACTGCTGGCTGAAATTATTCCTAAAGAAGGGTAATGCCTTTCATTTTTTCCCTCCCTATAACAGAAAGGGAATACAGCCCTGCACATTGCATCCTTAGCAGGACAAGCTGAAGTTGTCAAAGTTCTGGTTAAGGAAGGAGCCAATATTAATGCACAATCTCAGGTATGATGCTATTTTCCCTTCTCTCTTCTAAAAGTTATTTGGTGAAATTTTATAAGATAGATCTGAGATGCTAGGCAGCGATTCCAAACGTCCAAGCCTGAGACAAAGCAATCCAATTGAGGCTTACGTAGCATTCAATGGTAAGTAAAAGTAAATAACAAATTGAAGTCATTATATCCTCATTGTGTGATACAGAAACTCGCATTGTTGTTGATTGAAATCTTTTAGGAATTCCTAGTGTGCTTTAATAAATTGTTTCAGAAATTTTTCAAAGTGTAGAAATATTACATCGTATGTTTGAGTTGACTTTGGTGAGCAATAACAAAGACGACAATTTCTCAAAGACTTGATTTATAGAATTGCTTTTCATGGTTATTTGTTGGCTAAAAATTTGCAAAGAACTTACTTCAGCTTCTGAACTCATTCTTTATGTAGTCAGGAAGAATTTAAATCAAAAGTTTGGAACGTATATTTGAATTGGGGAAAATCACCTTGTCCTGGCAGGCAAACCAGCTGTAAAAAGAGCCCTCTTATTTCCCCCGACACGAAGCTTGTCTGCTCTTCCAAGACGTACCAGAGAACGTGGTGATGTGGCAGAGACGGACCGATGGCCGGTTATTCTCTCCCTGGTCTGGGCAAGGCTGTAGAGGCAGCTGCCTGCCGGCTGGGATTTCAGAGCTGTAAACAACACGTGCTAGATGCGCAGTGAACAACCGACTGCAAACTACCTAGGCGATGGCTTGTTTTCCGAGCTAACTGTCTGTCCTGGTTTCAGCTGGGATAGAGTTAATTTTCTTCCTAGTAGCAGGCATAGTGCTGTGGTTTGGATTTAGTCGGAGAAGAATGTTGATAACACACTGATGGTTTAGTTGTTGCTCAGTCCTGCTTATGCCGGTCAAGGACGTTTCAGCTTCCCATGCTCTGCCGGGGCACAAGAAGCTGGGAGGGGGCACAGCCAGAAGAGTTGATCCCAACTGCCCCAAGGGCCATTCCATACCATACGGCGTCATGGGCAGTATGGAAACTGGGGGGGTTGGCCGGGGAGCAGCGATCGCTGCTCGGGAACTGGCTGGGCATCGGTCGGCGGGTGGTGAGCAATTGCATTGGGCATCACTTGCTTCGTGTATCATTATTATTATTATCATTATTATACTGTTACTATTATCATTACCATTTTACTTTATTTCAATGATTAAACTGTTCTTATCTCAGCCCAGGAGTGTTTCTCACTCTCACTCCTCCGATTCTCTCCCCCATCCCACCGGGGCAGGGGCAGTGAGCGAGCGGCTGCGTGGTGCTGAGCTGCTGCCTGGGGCCAAACCCCGACACCGTCCCTGTCTCCTCTGCCCGCGCAAACAGACACGCTATTAGCACCGGAGATTAATTGACCAAGTTATCCTAACACATAATTGAGATAGCTATTATTTCCTCTGTTTAGGATTAGGAGCAATTTATCAAATAAATAATTTAATGTTTGTAAATGCTACCTTAACTATGGCAACTGTCTGTAGCTACGAAGAACTGAACAGATGGTATAGATGTGGACTATATGATAAAGAAAGCGCATCTTTCTGAAACATCTAGTCAGCTTGTGACATTTTCAAAGTAAATCATCGAGCTAACTGTGTTCAGATTGAGTCCAAGCGCATCATTCAATGACCACAAATAGCATTTTTGCAGTAATGGTGTAAGCTAAGGCGATGAGAAAAACAAGTCACGCTTCAGGCGTAGATTAATTTCAAATTAAATTTTCCTAGTACTTGCTGTTTATAGGCAAGATAATGGCCCTTGGCTTAATCTTGCTGGGATACGTGAGCAGAACAAGAAGAGTGTGATCCGATTTAACAGTGCAGCTAGGAACTAACTTGGTTGCAGAGAGTTTTGGGAAGCATAGCCCGGCCCGTGTGAGATGCTTTTCTCAGTCCTCTTCTGTAGCGCATTCGCTGATCATTAGGAACACAGACAAGTTTGTAAAAGGTTTTGATTTGTCAGAGTCCAGCCTGAGTCTGGCTACCTCCACGTCTTGCTTGCCCAGCCCTGGGAAGCTGGGACCTGGAGGGGTTTTGTTACTGTTTGACGTTTCAAATTTATGATGGACAGTGTAAAGTAAGTAGAGAGCAGGAGATGAACGAATAGGTTTATAAAATGAATAGGTTTGTCTGTACCTTCTTTACATTTTAAGACAAGAGAGAGAAATTGAAAAGATCTTTAAGCTGCCTGACTCCAAGATTTTTAAAATATTTTCTTTATTATGCTTTCTGCCCCAAAGCAACTGCTGAAGAATTCTCTCAGGGCAACTGGGTCAATTACTCCCCATGCTCTACTTCCATTAAAGATAAGAACTGCTGTAATTCCATTGCTCAAAAACTTAGCAAACTTTTCATAATGACCTAACTGGATGATTTCTTCATTTATCAGCCTTTTCATGTGTATAAGAAGATAAAGTAATGTCTTTAATGTTAGGATTTTGAGCATGGTAAAAGAAATAATTGTAAAAATGATACTTTCATGAAGCAGTATCCCTCAAAAAGTCTTCATAAAGGCTTTGCCTTATGCTGGAAAAATAAATGACCTTTTCTAAATAATAAAAAAACCCCACAACCTACCAGATTGGAAATTGTTTTCACAGGTATTATTTTATACAGTATTATAGTTTTAAGCACATTTTATTGTTAGCAGTGGGTGTTCTGTGTAATGTACACAGACCTGTTAACAGGCATTTGCCGCTTGAATTAATTGAATGACTCTGATGGAGGACATTTTTTTTCCCTCGTACTGCTCCCCGGTTGCCTCCAGACAGGATGAATTCAAACTGCTGCGATATATATGCCCTGGATTTGTGCCACGTTGTCTTAATGAAGCAAGTCCCGTTGACTTGAGTGGGAGGGCGAGTCCTTGATGCAGCGCGATCCGGCTGCGGGGGGCCCTTGGGTTGTGTGTTTCTGGCCTGCCGTGCTTTTCCAGGAGAGATGGATAATGGCTGCTTCAGGCAGAAGGAGGTGTTCAGAGGCTCTTTCCAGCGGAAGGTGTCCCTTTGTGGGGACCGCTCTGTCATAGGGTTTCCTGGTCAAAGTGCTGTCATGAACACAGCAGTAAACAACTGCACACGGAGAGAGGCGCGCGACCTAGATCTATCTTCTCTTTGGTAAATGCTGAATGCGCTCGGGTAGTATCTGTTGGTAGTATTCAGCTCTTCGAATAGTATTTGTGTGGGAGCGTTCACACAGATGTTCCCATGTAGCTAGTAATTGGAATATGAATGAACAGATGTTGCCTATACGATGGGTGGAAAGGATGTATTTTTTTTCAGTCGTGGCTCTGAGCGGACACCTAAGAATTCGGTTCTAATACCGATTTGCCAGAGGCTTCCCTTGGAAGATTAAATAAAGTAATTTCTCTATGCCCCGTGAATGGAACGAGGATAATGAATGCTGCCTTTCTACTCACGATTGCATTGACATGCTCAGGAGTCACATGTGTTGTAGAAAATAATAAGTAAGCAGAAAAAGGAGAAGAAAAACAGAAACTTCAAAATTAATAAAGAATAGACACCTGATTTATGATGAAAGATTCAAGCATACCTAACTACAGCTGGTAAAAAAAGGAAAAGATGAAGTTATATAGAAAAAGGAAAAGAGAATGACTGAACAGTATCTGCTTGAATACTCATACTAAGTTTTTTGTCAGGAAGTATGTCATTGATGAAAAGATGAAGAGGAAAAAAAAAATCCTATCAGGAAAGAGCTTAATTGAGAAAGTGAGAAATTAACAAAAATACAAATGAAGGGTAAATCTGAATTTAAAAAGTGAGAAATTATGACTGAAATGCTCAGTTTCTCTTTCTTATGTTTTCTCTCACTTCCATTTTTAAAAATAGATGCTAATTGTCACTCTTAAATCTTTGATGAACAGTTGTTGGTATTGAGGGTATATTACATCCTCTCCTTGGCATCTCTGTTATTTCACACTTTATTTTTTTTAGGCCCCTGCTAAATGCCATTTGTTGGTACTGATTTAATGCCAGTGAAGTTACTCGGGTTGCTCCGTAACTTCCTCTTTAAAGAACTTGGTATCTGTCAAGGTCATTCTCGTTTCCATGGATGATAATTTGCCATAGTGACAAAATTTCTTCACTGATGATAAACTGATAGAGAAAAGAGTATTCGCCACCCCAGCTTGTTCAGTTTGTTGTTTTTCCTTTCCTTTTCTCCATTAAGTTGTGTAAACCCACTGGCCTTTATCAAAACTTAGCACCAGTGCCATCTGAAACACCGCACTGATTTCCCAGTTCCTTGCAACAACAAAATAACAGAATTATCTCAGAAAATGCTATTAAAAGCATTGCAACCACTGAGATTACAAACCCCATCTGTGCTATCCGAGACTGTTAAGCATTCAGGACTTTGGTTTTATGGATTTTGGTTTTCAATTAGATTACTTTGCTTTGCCCTTCAGTTTCATGTTGGCCTTCAGAGCTGTTATTCTGTTCAGCTTCCTCTTTTTAAAAGTCTGTTCTTTTTGAGCTAATACATCATCACTGCTATTTTTAGAAAAGTACTTTCTATTTTGATACAAAGCCTAATTGCACAGTGATTACTAATTGAATGACTCCACTTTCACCTGCACGCATATCATTTGAGAGCTGACATCTTCCTTGAATATGTTTCAGGCAAATGCTGAAATGAGGGCAAGTCCAGAAATGGCCAGAGAGCTCTAGAAGTTGCTTTTTGGCATACCTCCACCCAGATTTTGGCAAGTGTGCCATTGTTAGGCTCAAGTACAATCGCCTTTTGCTACAAGTATTGCTGGAGAAAATATATTTATATAATGAGTATCTACGAAACCTTCACTTGGTTGACTCTGCTTATAGTTCGGTGAGCAGCTCTAGACACGCGTCACCAAGTAAAAAAATCAATTTCTGCACTTTCTTTTCTTGATTTGACTATGATTTTTGGTCACGTATAGACCTGACCAAGCTGCATTCATTGATAATATGAAAT